ATACATCAATCAAACTTTTCTGATTATGTGGACCGGGGATAATACAATTTAAGAATATATATGGACTAGTCATACACAACTCAGGTGGTAGATTATAAGGTGTAAGAAAGGCAGGCCAGCATGAATATGGTGTCGCAGATATAGAAAAAGGCGTGAAGCTATCCACACACAAACCTAACCGAATGTTCCTTGGTTCACTAGAAAAATCTGGATATGTCCTATCAAAGTTCTTCTAAGCTTTTCCATCTGAAGGATGACACATAACACCAGGTGGTCTTCTATTTTTAAAGTGCCATATCATATGAGGAGTCGAACTCAATGACGCATATAACCTCTTTAACCTAGGTATATGAGGTAAATAATGCATCGCCTTGATAGTGACCATATTCCCGCTGGAAAGCCTCTTGAAACGAGGCTTTTCGCAAAATTTACAACTGTCTAAAGTTGCATCATCTTTATAATATGACATGCAACCACCTTCACAACAATCAATTCTCATTGACAAAAGTCCTAACTTAGAAACCAATCTCTTTGCCTTATACAAATCACCAGGTAAGTTGATATAAGGGTCAACTAGTTCACTCATAAGGTCAATGAAAGAGTCCATGGCTGCTTGAGAAATATTCTAATCAGATTTGATACTTTGTAATCCAACTGCAACAGACAACTCAGAGTACGGACTTCTATCACGTAGTGGACGACTAGCTTCCTCTAATTGTTCATAAAAATATTTTGCGTCATCATTAGGAGTTTGTTCAACATTTTCATTGGGCTCACCGCCGAAGTGCATCCCAAAAGCATCCGCAATCATATCCTGAATTCTAGAATCAAGATTTGTATACTCCACCGACTTACTACTTTCACCAACAACTATGTTATGAAATATCCCACGGCTACCATCGATCTCTCCATGATTAGTCCACACAAAGTAATTCTCTATAAACCCCTTCCTATAAAGATGAAGCTTAACTTCCTCCGGTTTTTTAAACTTCACACAATCGCACTTGAAACAAGGGCCTAATTACTCCTTCACTTTGGTATGGTGGAAGTGACATTGCATGTCTAATAAAGTCATCAACCCCTTCTACAAAATTCTCCCACAATCCCCGCCGATTAGGATAATTCCTATTGTACATCCAAGTACGATGTTCCATCTATACAAATAAAATAAGAACAAATGAATTTATTCTACAATTATAAATTAATTAAATCTTTTTTAGTTAATTCAAGATAACTATTTTTTCCTAATTACACCAAAAATTAAATTATATTAATATAAAAGTAAAAGTTCAATTTATATCTTACGAGTTTAAACATAAACTAAAAGTTCAATTTATATCCTAAAAGTTTAACTCATACCCAAAAGGTTCAATTTATATCCTACATGTTCAATTCATATCTTAAAAGTTCAATTCACAATCAAAACCTAAAAACTAAAAGTTCAATTCATATCCTACGAGTTTAAACATAAAATAAAAGTTCAATTTATATCTTACGAGTTTAAACATAAACTAAAAGTTCAATTTATATCCTAAAAATTCAACTCATACCTAAAAGGTTCAATTTATATCCTACAAGTTCAATTCATATCTTAAAAGTTCAATTCACAAGAACAAAACCTAAAAACTAAAAGTTCAATTCATATCCTACGAGTTTAAAACAGAAACTAAAAGTTCAATTTATATCTTACGTGTTTAAACATAAACTAAAAGTTAGGATTATATCCTAAAAATTCAACCCATACCCTAAAAGTTCGATTCACAAGAATGAATCCTAAACCCTATATTCTAACTAAACTATTCAAGACAATACAAAGTTAATTATTCAATTCTAACTAAACTATTCAAGACAATACAAACTCAAACATTCGATTTATCCCATATGTAATCAATTCAGTTAAAACAAGACCTAAACCTAGATTCTTATAAAATACAATGTTAAATAATCAATTGAAACACTAATCAATTGAAACTAATTCATATCTAATAAATAAAATATTAGATTTATACACAAAAGATATAAGTTGTAATTCAAACCTAGAATTTTTAGGAGGTGGGGAAGGAGAGACGCGGCAGTGGCAGTGGCAGCGGCAACGGCAACGGCGCGGCGACAGCTGAGCGGTGGCGACGCGGAGTGGGGAATGGGAGTTGTGTGAGGGAAATAGAGAGGGAGAGGAGAAGGTATTGAGTGGGAGTTTAAGAAATTTTGAGAAGAGAGATATGAAAAATGGGGGGAATCCCGTATATTTTAGGTCTGTTTTCATACTTACCGACCAACGTTGGTCAGTATTTTGGTCGGTTCATTAAGTGTAGACCGTTTGACCAAATACCGACCAAGTTGGTCGGTTACTATTTTAAAAAAAAAAAATTGTTTTTGTTTTTATTTTTTAAAATATTATAAAAGCTATAAAAAATTATTATTAACTATAAAAATTATTTTATTAACTATACAATTATTATAAATAATTATAAATTATAAGCATAATCTTTAACAAAATTATATTTACTAGTAAATTACTTTTAATAGATTATAATAGCATCTATCTAAATAAATTTTCTAAGTTATATTTAAGTATATGAGTAATTTCACACAAACACACATACACTATATTGTAATTGATGATCAATCTTATACATTACTACGTACGAATAATCTATCAATTGATAAACCAATATAATATTATTCTATTTTAGGTCGTGACATTTTGTTTTTAATATTAATCGATATAGGTCAAAACGTTTCGTTTTTAATATTCATCGATGCATCTAAATAAGTTATAAGTCGATCAATCAATTTACAAATAGATATATTTGATGATAAATTATATATACTAATTAGGATCTTCACAAGTGATCTATCACTAAAAGAACCCGACCCTGTGTTCCTAGCGCTTCGTATATATATATATATATATATATATATATATATATATATATATGTGTGTGTGTGTGTGTGTGTGTGTGTGTGTGTGTGTGTGTGTGTGTGTGTGTGTGTGATGTTTTAAATGTCAATACCACACAAGAGAGCGGGTAATTTGTGTGGTATCCAATTTTCGCTTAACTGAACAATAGAAGGACCTGGTTCTTCTATGTGTTCCAACTACTACTGTTTGCGGAATAATAAATAAAGAAAATAAAGAACACAGAGATTTTTACATGGAAAACACCTGGCTCAAAAGGTGAAAAAACCACGACCTACCACTCAGTAGGATTTTCCCAAACTTCCACTAAAATCACTGAGCCAAAACAGCATTTACAAAACTTTTGTAAACCTAAGGATTAACTCTAATCCCGTTGTGGCACACAGCCTCAACTATTGCGACAACTTCAAGTTAACTCTAACTTGAACACTCTAGGTACCTAATTGCTTCTATGAAAGCTGAAAGGTACAAAGTAAAAACACCTACTACAATTGAACTAGAATAAAAGATAGACACTTGAAACTGGTTCTTCTATCTTGTTCAAGTAGCTTCAGGATTGCACACTTGAATCACACATAAATTGCTTGCAAAATTGCCTTGCTCTTTTGCTCTCAATTTAAGTTTTACTTCTGCTTATATGCATTACCTGTAAAAGAGAACACTAATATTTAATAGGTTAGTAATCAAAGATTGACTAGGATTCAAAATGCTACTCTTTTATCGTAGAAGAGTTCAAGATGATCTCAAACTCTAACACTATCTCGATCTCAACTGTGTTCTCTTTATGTAAGGAGTCTTTCTCTCCTTATCCAATATGTAACCTTTTCGATCAGATCAGGAGATATTACTTCTGATAAGTTAGATTTATCTCCTTCACGTGCATCTCACATGTTTGGGCCGATCATGACTGTGGTGCACAAGATGGACTTGGTCCATGTCTGAGTTCTTTTGTCAATCTTCAAAACTTCACCTGTTCTTGGGCCAACAAATTCCCCCTTTTTGATGATGACAAACTCTGTGCTTTTTACTTACTTGGATCCTGTGAGAACTCAACTTAATCATCAATAGAAAGTTTAGAAAATTCACGTATCATCAAGGACCAGGTTAATTAGGTTATAAATATCACTTAGTCAGAATGTGTAAAGCACAATATCTCTTCCCCCTTTTGGCATCATCAAAAAGTTGCATACAAAGTGTGAGTCCCTGATTTTAATAAGTACTCATGGCCACTGGGGCTACTGCAAGTGCAATCATGATTTAATCATCAGTAATCAAGCAAACATATTTGAACTATCAAGGAAAGATTAACATTGAACAAGAGCAAAAACAGTAGATATCATTGATAGAAGATATGTTGCTACCACAATCCACAACTAGAAAGCAAAAGCATTTAAAACATGAGCAAAAAAAGATAGAAAAAAAATCCCTAATCCGGGTCACTGAAGGTACGAGACAGGTTCAGGAGACAAAGGCTTGGGGGAGCTAGAGGGTTGGTTTTGAGCTTGGAGAAGATTCAGCATATTGTGAAGAATTCCATCATTCTTCTCCTTTTCCTTGGTAAGCTCAGTTCTGAGGGCATCCCCTTAGATTCCACCTCTGCCATACGAGCCTTGAGCCTAGCTATCTCACCATCCTTGGCTTCACATTCCTGAACTAGAGCCCTGACTTTACTATTGATAGGAGTCGTCTTGGATGATCCAGGTTCATTTGGGATGGCATTGACTAAATAGTCACAAGCAATCAGAGTATTAATGCCAAAGTGATCCTTGCTTGAGGCCATTTCCCATTTCTTCAGAGGCACTTTGCACCTCTCCAGAATCGTAGTCAGAATAAAGCCATAGGGGGTAGCTTGAGCGTTGGAGCCATTGATGACCCTATCCAGCAGCTTGATGATGAATGCAGGCCATTAGTTTGCCTTCCACTTTCCAGGTACTCCATAAGAACTAGGTCCATATAATTTGCAATATGCCTTCTCTCCTGTCTGGGCAATAGGCACTTGTTGACAAATTCAAACAAGACTTTGTGTTGTGGCCTCATTTCACTTTTCTGAACAGCCCTAGCCTCATTCACATCTTCAGCATCACAGAATCTCCTGGTAATTTCAAGGGCAGTAGGAAGGGAGTCCAGACAAGGCCACCTTTGCCTTGCATAGTCATCAAACCCTTCAGAGGGTATGTCAAGAATCTCTCCCAGTTTTCCTGCATCAAAGGTCACTTGAACTCCTTTCACCAGGCTCCTAACCTTGCCATCCTTAACCTCAGCATTTGCCATGAACTCAATTATCTCATTCCTGGCTAGCCTTCCATCCATCTGAAGGACCATGTCCTTCCACCCCTGAGCAGCTAAGGCATCCACCGGTCTCATAATTCCTGGTTCCACCAGGTCCTTCAGCAATCTACCCTTCAAATTTTTTTTTTCCAAACATGGCAAGCTTGTCTTGTTCACCATCAGACTCATCTTCTTCTTCTTCACTACTCCATTCCTCATCTTCAGAGATTCTAACTTATTTTCTTGGAAGAAGTCTTGGGCTTTTTAGGCTTGGGGGTCTGAACCTCCACTGTTGGAACTTCCTCTTGATGGACCTGTTCCATCTCCTCAACTTCCACAACCTCTGAGGACTCTGCCACCTTCCCTTTTCCTTTAGCCATCCTTTTCTTCTTACTCTCAGCTAGAGCTTTTTGTAGATCACTCTCACTCTGTTTCACCCTGCTTCTTGTGGCTCTTCCCTTTGGCAAGGAAGTTTCAGTAGTTGTTAGGGATGAAGCCTTTCTTTTCTTAGAGGGTTTAGGAGCACTGGGGGCTTTTGGTGTGGGAGTTCTTCTTTTCTTTGGATCATAACTTGCCCCAACCTTTTTCAACAAGTCTGCCAGGGTCTCTTCAGTTGATGAACCAGGTTCATCTCCTTGTACACTTAGATTAACTAACCCTTCAGCAGCTTCACCAGAACCACTTCCCCCTGACTTCTTGCCACTCTCTTCTACAATTTCTTGTTCAACCCCATAGATAGCAGGCACAGACAAACCAGCAGTGGGTGAATGATCAACCACTCTTTTCCCATTTCCCCTCTCTTCACCACATTCACCCTCTCTCTCTTTTTCTTTTTCAGATTTCTTTTTACCTCCACTCCTTCGTAACTCAGGTAATTCTACATCCCTAATAGGCCCAACCAAAACAAACCTAGTTTCTAGATTTTCAGTCACAGAAGAACTTACCTTAGAAGGGGATTCTTGAGTCTTCTCAGAGTCAGAAGACCCAGGTCCTTCCCCCTCACTAGCCGATTTGTATGAGTCAAAATCAGAGGTGGAGTCAGAGTCGTGGACCTGGCTTGCCTTTAATTTCTCATTTAATTTCTTTGAGAGAGCCCCAGAAGCTACTGTGTTCTGAGCAAGCATTTTTACCCTTCTCAGCCTGGGTTTGGGAGATGTGCTAGGTGGAGGAGAGGTAGATGAGTTAGAGGGAGTGGGTGGTGGAGGAGTTCCAGGATTGTCTTGTGGGTTTGTCATGATCGCTGGTTTCCTGAGAGAATTTGTGAGTTAGAATTTTGGAGAAGAAAGCAAGTGAAAGTGAAGATGGATTTTTGACAGTTTGGGATTATGAAGATGGCAGGAGGTAATGATGGATATTTAAAGAGAAATACACATTTAATGTAAAACGGCAGCTTTAGCAGTGGTCAATTAGAGGTCTAATCAACCTGAAATTTCAGGTTTAAATGATCGGTTAGGCTTCCCTAGATTTTAGGCAATTTTTTGTGGTTTAGAGTTCTAAGGCTGACGGAACTGGTTCAAAGCTAACGGATAGAATTTTTTAAGGAGTTGAACAATTATAGGACTTCTGCTCATGATTTAAATATTTATATTTCTAATTGTGCAGAGTATAAAAAACATACCTTAGCATTCAGATGAACCCATACTGATGAACTAGGTTCTTCATTTGGAATTCTCTTGACCATGCCTTAATTTACCAAAATAGAGAAAATTTTATAAGAGATCAGTGAGTCATATTAACACATGTCACAGGAGTATACTAATTACAGTATGAAACTGAGTAGAAATTAATCTAGATATTTACACAAGTTCAGATTTCCTAGCCAAAAAATATAATTAATTTTTTTTTCATTTTTTTCATTGTGCATTCTGACCTGGTCCTATTAGGTAATCATAATCATCCCTAATTCCAACTTGTTCCTCTCAAAGTTTTCTCTACTCAGTGCTTTAGTGAAGATGTCAGCAATTTGTTTATCAGTAGCACAGAATTCTATGGAGATCAATCATTTCTCATAGTTATCTCTTAACAAGTGGTGTCTAACATCTATGTGCTTAGTCCTCTTATGATGAACATGGTTCTTTGTCATACTTGTAGCACTAGTGTTATCACAGAAGATAGGAATGCAACCAACTTCAATGCCAAAATCTATCAGCTGCTATTTGATCCGCAGCAATTGAGCACAACAAGAGGCAGCAGCAACATATTCAGCCTCAGCAGTGGATAAGGCTACTGAATTCTGCTTTTTAGTGGCCCATGATACAAGACATGAACCAAGAAAATGGGCCATACATGAGGTGCTCTTCCTATCCACAAGGAAACCTGCATAATTAGCATCAGCATACCCTACTAGATTGAAATTACTACCTTTAGGGTACCAAAGACACAGATCAGTAGTGCCTTTCAAATATCTCAGTATCCTCTTGACAACAGTCAAGTGAGATTCCTTTGGATTAGCCTGAAAGCGAGCACAAAGCCCTACACTGAAAACTATGTCAGGTCTGCTGGCAGTAAGATACAAAAGTGAACCAATCATACCCCTATACAACTTCTGATCAACAGATGAACCAGGTTCATCTATGTCTAATTTAGTAGCAGTTGCAATGGGGGTGTTTATTTCCTTTGATTCATCCATTTAAAACTTTTTGATCAACTCTTTTGCATATTTCTGTTGATGGATCATGGTTCCATTTGGGTTTTGTTTGATCTGTAAACCTAAGAAAAAGTTAAGCTCACCCATCATACTAATTTCAAACTCACTGCCCATTAATACTGCAAAATCCTTACTTAGTTTGTCAGTGGTTGCCCAAAAAATTATGTCATCAACATATATTTGTACCACAAGAAGATCCTTACCTTTTTCCCTCAAGAATAGAGTACTGTCAATTTTACCTCTTTTGTAGCCATGTTCAAGCAGGAATTTGGACAATCGTTCATACCATGCTCTAGGAGCCTGCTTGAGTCCATAGAGAGCCTTGTCTAATTTGTACACATCTTCAGGACATTCCTTGCTCTCAAACCCTTGAGGTTGTTTAACAAACACTTCTTCTTTTAGTTAGCCATTCAGGAAGGCACTTTTGACATCCATCTGATGAAGAGTGAATTCCATGTGTGCTGCAAAGGCTTTGAGGAGTCTTATTGCCTCCAGTCTTGCAACTGGAGCAAAAGTCTCATCATAATCTATACCCTCCTCTTGGCTGTAACCTTGGACCACCAGTCTTGCCTTGTTTCTTGTAACTGTTCCATCTTCATCAAGCTTGTTTCTGAAGACCCATTTTGTGCTAATTACTGATCTGTCCTTGTGTCTTGGAACTAGATGCCAAACTTTAATTCTCTCAAACTGATTGAGTTTATCTTGCATTGCATTTACCCAATCTGCATCCTGCAAAGCCTCAACAACATTTTTAGGTTAAATAACAGATAGGAAAGTATCAAAAGCACACAGATTTGTTGATACCCAATTTTTTACCGTATATTTTTTATATGCAAAATACTTTCAAAATAGCATGTGTATGCATATATAAGTATGCCCAAGAGTTTTAGTATTTTTTCTAATTTTTAAATCAATTTATTGCCCATTTTTAGCAGTACAAAAACCAATAATTATTCCCAAAATTATCATTTTTGGTGAATAACTTATTTTATTCTCATATTTATACCAAAATATAGCTAGGGTAATTTCCATACATTTTTACAAATTTATTTAGTATTTTAAAAGCAAAATTACATACAATTGCGATTTTAGCTTATTTTAAGAATTAACAGCATTTTTAATTATAAAATTTATTCCAGTATTTTTAATTTAATGATTATATATTATTAATTAATATAGTTCTTTCAATTTGTTTCAAAAGAAAATCGTTTTACTATTTTTATAAATTTAAAAAGGGAAAAAACTGGCTATTTAAAATCTGGCCTCATTTTATTTCAGTTATAGCCAAAATTGGTTCCCCTAATTGACCCAATTTCGAACCCAATTTCGGACCAGCCCAATTCCATTTAACCCAACTCTTAACCCGTTTTAAATTACCCGACCCAACCCCTTTTGTTCTTGGCCGTTGATCTCTGAGATCAAGGGCCCCTATCCACCCTTCCATAATTAAACCCAAACGACTACCCTAATCCGTTCATTTCCCATCTCTCAGCCGCCTCCAAACACCCCCCCCCCCCTCTCAAACTCTCTCGAAGGTTCTTGAAACCCTAGTCTCTCTCACCATCTTCAACCACAACCTCACCGGAATCCATGGACTCTCCGGCCACGGATGGCTTCAACCTATCTCTCTCTGCTCTTAAACACTTGGTGTTCGAAGTTTTGAGGTCTGACCTCGATGGTGTCTGTTTAGATCTTCTCCGATTCAAGGTTCTATGGCCTCTCCGGCCTTGCTCCGGCGTATCCAAGCATTATGAGCCTATCTCTGACTTATCCGACTCAAATCGGACTTTTTCCAAGCCTTTCTCGTATTAGGGTTCCTCTGAAACCCTAGCTATTCGAGGTTTTCTCTGATTGTTTTCTTAGATCTGTTCTATATATGTGCTCTACTTGAGTTTTTTTAAATATTTTCCCCAATTTTTCTTTCAAAATTATCCTTTAAAACCCCTTCTCTTCGATTTAGGGTTTTCTGAAAGGTTCAAAATATTTTTTTGACTTGTCTTTTCCTTTCTTTGTGTGTATTTGTCACGCGTGTGCTTCTACTATTTTCTTATGCTTTCTTTCTGCCCTACATGATTCTTCTGTGCTTTATTTTTCTACTGTGTTCCTGGACCAGGCTCGCATGTTTGTCTTGCTGTGTTTTCCTACACGTTCTTTGCTATATTTTTCCGGTATTTTGTGCTTTCCTACTGTATGTATTTCATACTGAGTTCATAAGTTTTGTTTGCCTTCTACTGGACCTTGTTTGAGTTCCTTTTAAACGTGTTTCTTCTACTGTTTTCTTAAGTGTTATACTATCTCTTTTCTCTTCTGAACCCTGTTTAAGTCCCTTCTAAAGGGTTTTTCTTGAACATGTTCCTTCTACTCTCACTATGCTTTAAATCAGTTTCTTCACTCTGTTTGCTTCGAACGTGCTATTGTATCTGTTTGTTTTCTCATGAGTCTCTGAAAGAGATCTCTGAGCCTGTTTCAATTACTTGCCTCCTCGTCTCTGTATCTGATTCGAAGTGGAAACCCTAGAATTTGGGGGTTTTTGACAAGGTTGGGTCAGGTGTTTGAACTGGGGTTCTATTTTGGAACCCTTGACTCTTTAGACTCATTCTGAGTCTATGAGCTAATTTTGAACTTCTTTGTTTTCGACTCTGAACTTTTTCCATGCTAGACTCTTCTACTGATTAGCATGGTAGTTCTTCGTGTTTAAGCATGGCTGCGTGTTTTTATATGTGTGATAAATTCTTTCTTTCGAAAAGGTTTTCCAACTTATGATTCAGAATCCTTTTTCTAGGTTTAATTGATTAGTACTGATTTTCCTTAAGTCAAGATCTTTCCCATCTTCCTGACCTGGTTCATTCACATGAAATATTCAATTTCTTATTTTACTGGTTGTTGATTGATGGCCTTTCCTAATTTGCACAAACCGTGTGCAATCACACTTTTTCCTTAAATAAATCTCTGTGTATTTACCCTTCTTGTGCTGCTTTGAAAAAGTGTTTGATCAACCTCTTTCCTTAATTATTTTACCCGTTTGAAATCAGAATCCCTTAACTAAAGGGAAACTTGTGTAATTGATTTTCAAATTATTCTCCTACCTTATTCTGCTTGCCTTCTACACTATAAAAGGGGCACGACTCCTTTCTCACCAACACACCTTGAATTTGACACTTTTCAGACACTTTCAATTACACAACTCTCAATTCAACACTTTTACACACATAATCTCGTAGCTCTCTTCTAAAATCTTCTGACTATTTGCTTGCAATTTGGCTTTACAAGACTACTGCTTTCTTTTCTTGTTCCTTAAACTGGTATGTTCTAATTTAGTTTCCAGCCTCATCCCAATGTGTTTATGTTACAGTTTCTACAATCCTGTCTACTTTGCTATCTTTGCTCAGTGTTAAATATGTATGATGTTCTCTTTGCATCTATTTCTGCTGTGAATCCCTGTACCCATATTCCCTTCTATGTGTTTGAGTTAAAGTTCAGAACATGGCAACATCCAAATTGTTGCTCATTTCTGGACTTGATCCTTTAAGGGATCCTAACTCCCAAACAATGTGGCTAACAGGCTGGTTGGGGTGTGCCAGCACTTCC